TGTGTGTGTACCTCATGATGAGTGTTTTGTAGACGGACTCTCTCAGCTGGAAGACGTGGTTGCTGACGGCCAGGTTGTGCTCTAATCTGAAGGGCTCCAGGACCACGCCATCTCTCACTGGGAAGGTCAGCCGCAGGTCGTCGCTAGGGTTACCTGTAAACAGGAAGTCATCGGTCACACGCCTGCACATTGACTTCGAATCAGTGGGAAAAAAATAATCAGATTATTTCACAAACAAAATTTGGAACATTTTCCTGATAATCTCAAGATGTGACTGATCATGAAACATTATTGATTGATTATTGATATGAAACCAAATGATGTTGATCTGTTTATCATGGTGGACCAATCAGAATGTTTCATTTCATTCATGACCTCAGTTTGACTCAAGCAGCTGGTTCTAAAATATAATCAGACTTCTTATATATTTAACATATTCAGATTACTCTGATCATCAGTCGTATTGATACCATGTGATCGATGATTGTGTGTACCTGTCGGCGGGGGAGGGGCCAGGCCAGCTATGTTGGGTTTGATGTCAGGCAGGAAGGGAGAAGGCGTCGGCTTGACGTCACTGTTGCCAGGCGACATGTAGGGCGGAGCCATGGAGCTGCTGGGGGTGACGGGAGGTGTTGGGTTTCCTGGAACCGGAGAAGAGGGGTAACCTGGCAACCCTCGCCCCGGCTAACAGACGGCGCCGGAGAGACGACAGAAAACACAAAAACTTTATTTCAGCATGTGCGCCCTCACTTCCTGTCACATGTCTCCTGCTCTGTGTGTTTCTGATCATGTGTGTGCACCAACACTCAGGTTAACACAGCGGTCTATATGACGTCACAGAGGCGGGGATAAAAGCCCCACCCACTCATTATTAAGGAGGGGCAGCTAATAAGAAGAAAGCTGTGTTAAAGAGGGAGGAGCCAAATCAGCCAAACACTCACAACGAACAGACACACACGTGTGTGCGCTCTCCTTACCCCTGATGGCTGGTTGAAGGAGTTATACACTCCTGCGGCGCCCCCTGCTGTCAGAGTGTTTAAGCCGCTCTGCCCGTTAAACTGGTCCTGCTGCACAAACCAATCAGCTGTTAATCAACAGGTGACAGCATTCAGGACTCCATCGCTCCAACAACACCGTATAGCTGCTCACCTTGTAGTACTGCGAACTGGGGGGCCCAGAGGGAGGGTACTGAGGTGGGAGGGGCATTTTATGGCTCTGATAGGAGGGGGAGGAGCCAGACCGTGGCGGGGCGGGACCTGGACCAGCGGGACCTGCAGGGAGACGAGGAGAAAGCACACCTGAATCATCAGAACACGAGGTCTGTGTCCCATCATCAGCTGTGGTGAAACCTCCACCTCACACCACCTCACACCACCTCACACCACCT